ATTTTAAAACTCTAAACTCTGATAGAAATTTTTTTTTGATAGATTTTCTAAGATTCATATAGGATATTTTTGATAAATAGAGATATTTTTATTTTTTGAGATTTCTAAAAGTTTGTATGGAAAGAGTTTATATGGGATATCTGATAAAAAATTTTTTTTATTTTCTAAGAGTTCGTATAGAAAGAGTTCGTATGGGGATATCTGATAGAAAAATTTTTTTTAAGAGATTTTCTAAGAGTTCATATGGGAAAGGTTTGTTGGATATCTTTGATAGAAAATTTTTTTTAAGAGATTCTCTAAGAGTTCGTATGGGAAGAGTTTGTATGGGATATCTGATAGAAAATTTTTTTGCGAAATTTTCTGAGTTCGTATGGGAAGGGTTCATGTAGGATATCTGATAGGAAATATTTTTTTTGAGAGATTTCCTAAGATTCGTATAGGATATTTTTGATAAATAGATTTTTTTTTTTTATTTCTAAAAGTTCATATGGGAAGAGTTCATATGGGATATCTGATAGAAAATTTTTTTTTTAAGAGATTTTCTAAGAGTTCAGTTCGTATGGGATAAATAATAGAAAATTTTTTTTTGAGAGATTTTCTAAGAGTTCGTATGGGAAGGGTTCGTATGGATTCTTTGTTAGAAAATTATTTTTATAGATTTTCTAAGAATTCGTAAAGGAACAGTTCGTATGGGATATTTTGATAAAGATTTTCCAAGTGTTCATATGGAAAAAGGTTCATATGGGATGTCTTTGATAGAAAATTTTTTTTAAGATTTTCTAGTGTGGGAAGAATATCTGGTAGAAAATTTTTTTTGAGAGATTTTCTAAGAGTTCATATGGAAAGAGTTCGCATGGGATTCTTTGATAGAAAAGTTGTTTTTTAAGAGATTTTCTAAGAGTTCATATGGAAAGAGTTCGTATGGAATATCTGATAGAAAAATTTTTCTTAAGAGATTTTTTAAGAGTTCATAAGAAAAGCGTTCGTATGGGATTCTTTGATAGAAAATTTTTTTTTAAGAGATTTTCTAAGAGTTTGTGTGGGAAGAGTTCGTATGGGATATCTGATAGAAAATTTTTTTGTGAAATTTTTTAGGGTTCATATGGAAAGGATTCGCATGGGACATTTTTGATAAATAGATTTTTTTTTTTTTATTTCTAAGAGTTCGTATGGGATATCTGATAGAAAAATTTTTCTTAAGAGATTTTCTAAGAGTTCATATAGAAGGGTTCGTATGGGATTCTTTGATAGAAAATTTTTTTGAGAGAGATTTTCTTAGAGTTCGTGTGGGAAGAGTTCGTATGGGATATTTTAATAAAGATTTTCCAAGTGTTCATATAGTAGGGGGTTCATATGGGATATCTTTGATAGAAAATTTTTTTTAAGAGATTTTCTAAGAGTTCGTATTGGAAGAGTTCGTATGGGATATCTGATAGGAAATTTTTTTTTGAGATTTCCTAAGATTCGTATAGGATATTTTTGATAAATAGATTTTTTTTTTATTTCTAAGAGTTCGTGTGGGAAGAGTTCGTATGGGATATCTGATAGAAAAATTTTTCTTAAGAGATTTTCTAAGAGTTCATATGGAAGAGTTCGTATGGGATTCTTTGATAGAAAATTTTTTTTAAGTGATTTTCTAAGAGTTCGTATTGGAAGAATTCATATGGGATATCTGATAGAAAAATTTTTCTTAAGAGATTTTCTAAGAGTTCATATGGAAGGGTTCGTATGGGATTCTTTGATAGAAAATTTTCTTAAGAGATTTTCTAAGGGTTCATATGGAAAGGGTTCGTATGGGTTTCTTTGATAGAAAATTTTTTAAGAGATTTTCTTAGAGTCCGTGTGGGAAGAGTTCGTATGGAATATTTTAATAAAGATTTTCCAGTTGTTCATATAGTAGGGTGTTCGTATGGGATATCTTTGATAGAAAATTTTTTTTAAGAGATTTTCTAAGAGTTTGTATTGGAAGAGTTCGTATGGGATATCTGATAGGAAATTTTTTTGTGAAATTTTTTAGGGTTCATATGGAAAGGATTCGCATGGGATTTTTTGATAGAAAATTTTTTTGAAAGAGATTTTCTAAGAGTTCGTATTGGAAGAGTTCGTATGGGATATCTGATAGGAAATTTTTTTGTGAGATTTCCTAAGATTCGTATAGGATATTTTTGATAAATAGATTTTTTTTTTGAGGTTTCCTAAGAGTTTGTATGAAATATTTTTAATAGAGGATTTTTTTAGATTTCATAACATTTTAAAAAAACAATACACTTTTTATTAAATTTATTTTAAATAAGTTAATATTATTAAAAAAATTAGGTATCCGAAAGTCCAAGGCAAATTATAATATATGACTATATGAGATGAAAAATTACAACTAACGATAGTAGGTTTTCAATTTATCTATTATTAACCAATCAAAATTCGGTCTGATCTTATGCACGTGACCTGATCTTAACATGCATATAAATAACCAAATGCGACTCTGTTTATTTTTCAAAAATCATACACCCTTTCTTTTCTGTTTTCTTCTTACTCTCATTACATTTTACAGGTATATTAATTATTGTATTTTTGCCATTAAATTTATGGTAATGATTACTGACTATATTTTATTTTATAATATTAACTTTACCTTTTTTTAATATTACTAATGTTATTCTTTTTTTTTCATATTTTACTAACATCATCACGTATTTTTCTTTTTTTTTTTTTTTATAAATTTTATCAAACTCTTCATAATACTAACTTTTTGTATTTGTGTATTTTATTATTACTAATGTTATTCTTTTTTTTTTATATTTTACTAACATCATCACGTATTTTTCTTTTTTTTTTTTTATACATTTTATCAAACTCTTCCCAATACTAACTTTTTGTATTTGTGTATTTTATTATAATTATTACTAACTTTTTATATTTACGCTTTACTATTTATTTATTAAATATTACTAACTTTATTAGTCATATACTAACATATTATTATAATAAATGTTTTTATTTTAAATACTTATCTGTTATTAATATAAATAAAGATACTATGTGTTTTATTATGTGCTATAATAAATTTTATTATTCATTATATTATTCTACAAAAATTGGTCATTCGACCATCAATTGACCATAATTGACCATAATTTGACCAAATAATTTGACCACATAAATTGACCATAAATTGACCATAAATTGACCTTAATTTGACCTTAATTTGACCTTAATTTGACCTCCTTAATTTGACCATAATTCGACCATAATTTGACCTCCTTAATTTGACCATAATTTGACCATAATTTGACCATAATTTGACCTTAATTTGACCATAATTTGACCATAATTCGACCATAATTTGACCTTAATTTGACCTTAATTCGACCTTAATTCGACCTTAATTTTGACCATAATTTGACCATAATTCGACCATAATTCGACCATAATTTGACCTTAATTTGACCTTAATTTGACCTTAATTTGACCTTAATTTGACCTTAATTTGACCTTAATTTGACCTTAATTTGACCTTAAATTTGACCTTAATTTGACCTTAATTCGACCATAATTTGACCATAATTTGACCATAATTCGACCATTTGACCATATTTTGACCATTAATCGACCATCAATCGACCATCAGCTGACCATCAATCGGCCTGCCCGATTGATGACGGATTTTGGCGGAAATCGGCTATCAATCGGCCACCCGATTGAATACTTATTGAATCAATCAGTTATCAATAAGATACCCGATTGATAGCTGATTGGTGACTGATTTGCCACCATTCGACCTGTGTTTATGGGATTAAATTTTAATTTTATATATAATTGTGTTATAAGTATGTTCCATTTTTACTATAACAAGGTTCCTATTATAGAGGTTTCACACTGTATAAATTTTTTATTTTATTTATCGATGTTTGCTAACAATAATCAAAAAAATTAATGTACTAATACTCATTTACTCAATATAAATAAGCTAAATTAAATTAGAGCTCTGGACGGTAAAAAGCTGATCCAGAATATCGGTTCTGTTCTCACTTCGTCTATCTGAGCAAAGATAGTATTTGTGCGTGATGCGACATTTAAACTTTGTCACTTTTTAAACACCAATATGTTTATATGATTTATAGATGTTGAATACAATACATTCCAGCATATTCATTTGTATTGTAAAAAAAGGTATTAAAATTTGAATGTTTCTTAAATCATGATCGCAAGATAAACATTCTTTTTAGTTTATTACTTAAAAACAAATCAGCTGATTGAAAATTTGGCTCTTTCCCAAAATTACTGGTTTATAAAGTAAAAAGGTACTAGTTGAGGCATAAACATTATTTGATTGTTTGGTTTCCTATACCACGTAGTCGCCGAGAGTTTGTCACACCACTCCACTTCCGAACCTACCCTTACTCCTCTTTCTTTTAAGATACGTAAAGCTTCTTTAGTTCTTGCCCTAATTTTAGTAAACTTACCCCCTGTTAGGCTACCTATGCCGCCAGGGGTCTGGCTTTAAACCCAGAGGCCCTTATCTTTACCATGTTGGATCTTCCCCCCTCAAGGCGTACCTATGCCGCCAAGGGGGTTCATCTGAGAAAGGATCGACATAAAGCTCTGAAAGGCTTAGCGGGGGGCATATATACGCTTTTGTCATGATAATGGTAAATACTACATAGGCTCTTCTTCTAACATAGCTAATAGAATGGATTCTTATATGCCTTCTGATTCAATCTATAGGGCAAAATTCAATTGTGTTATCATTAGGGCTCTCTTTAAATGCGGTCTTAGTTCATTTGGTTCTTCCTATTCCGAATTCAAAAATGAACTTCCTCCTTATCTCTTGAAAAAGCAATCTTTAAAGTGTTTATAATGTTGAGGTATCTATATTATAGAAGAAGGGATTGTTAAGTTAGTAACCTTACTTACTTATCTTATAGGTGATTCCCTATTGACCCTCTTAGGCTACCTATGCCGCTAGAGGGAATTTCAAAGAAATTAAATAAACCAAAGATAGCCATTGCTGGGAATCGAACCCAGGACAAAATCATTAACAGTGATTCGCTCTACCCCTGAGCTACAGTGGCCTTATTTTTTATCCAAACCCCCCTAAGGCTACCTATGCTGCCAGGGGGGAAACCTTTAGGACAAATAAGCTTTCCTTCATGTACTTCAATAAGATATATTTTAGGGGATGTTTCCTAAAATTGTATTTGAGTAGAAGAAGAAGTAGAGGGGGGAATTTTATTAATGCAGATTTAAAGCATCATTTATATAACTACATGTTAGTAAGACAAAAACATAGGGCTTGAATAAGAGCAACCCCAATTTCAAGTCCATAAAGCAGAGTAAGGAAAAGTAAAGGAAGAGGTTATTTATATGATCTGGTGATCTTTAACAAAGCAATTTAAAAAAATGAATTTTCACATGGTATCAGGTATTGTTTTTTTCTTTTTTTATATTGAACAAAATATATTTTTTGCAGTTGGTTATTTGAAATTATTGTATTTCATAATTTCACGATTTGCAATTTTTTTTTATAAAGAACTTCCCTATGATTATTTTTTATTAGCGATCTTAACCCCTTCGGTTATTAGTCATGGATACCTTTACTCTTTAACTAAATCTATTATGTATTACTGATTATGGAAAGCTGGTGAAATGTACTATACTACATACCATTCATTTAATAGGACCATTAAATTAAATTATTTACCACCAAAGCTAAATCCCTTCCCTATAAAAAAAATGGTATCAAAATTATGTATAATATTTTGTCTTATAAATGTCTGAAAATGCACTAATATGTGTTAATAAAAAATGCGGAATAATTATGTTAATTTTATATTAAATACGTGTTTATTATTTATATTATTATTACATATTACTAGTAGCTAATTTGCTGGTTATTCTTTTAGATCGTCTATTAGGTTTTGATGACTTTGCATATCCTTTTGATCTGTTTCTTGCATATTCCTTTTGCTATTATTAAACTTTCATCCATTTTTACTTTTTTGAACTTTTGAATTATTCGAACTAACTATATCTTGCTTATAAAATTATTATTAGTTAATAAAATTTGTTAAAAAAAAAAGATATAATGAATTTAGTAATATAAAAAGAAATTCGTAAAAAATATTTTTTTACTTCTAAGATTTTCACGCCCAGATAGATCTGAAACGATGACTTAAAAAAGAAATAAAACGAACATTGAGTAACATTCGTTAAAAAAAAAGACTAAAAATTCTTTTTTCTATACTTGCTGGATATCTATATTGAAAAAAATCTAAGAAAAATATCTAAGAAAGATAAAAAAAAAAAAACGAACAATTAGTAATGTTCGTTAAAATAAAAAAAACCAAGTTTTTTTTCTTACTCTTCATTTTCATGCTTTCACGTCAAGACTTAAAAAAAAATTGAAAAAATTTTTGTTTTAACGAACATTGCTAATTGGTTCTTTTTTTTTTAGGTATTTTTTTACTTACCACATTTTTATAAAGAAGAAGCAAAGGGGGATGGATAACTAGCTTAACGATAAGTTATGCTATAATCATTATTTCCAGAGAGAATAGTTAAAGGTAGTGCGAGAAAATATATTACGTAACAGAGTACAATCAAAAAAAAATATCTGACCTACAAATAGAAAACAGTAAAAAATTTTTTAAAAAAAAAATTCGAAAAATAAATACAAATTACCACGGTTCAAAAAATAGGTACATTCTAGTATTAACGTAAAATAAATAGGGAAGTAAAAAAAAAAATGAAGTGAAAGAGAAAAAAAACGCGCAAAAGTGGAAGAATATGAAAAAAGAACGTGTAAAAGGGGAAAAAAAAAATGTGTAAAGGAGAAGTGAAGAGAAAAATGTGCAGGAAAAAACGCGTAAAGGGAAACTGAAAGAGAAAGAACTGAACATGTGGAGGTAGAGGAAAAGAAAAAAGAAAGAAAAATGATTCGTTAAAAGTTTATATTAAAAAAATAGTTTCGTAATACTATTAAGATTTTGTAGATCATTCTACACGCACGGATTTAACGTTATCTTTCAAATATAAAATAAAGAATTTAAATTAAATAAACTTAAAGATTTTTTATTAAAAAATCCTTAAGGATCTGGATAATTTATAGAATCCTTATAGAATTTTATAATTTATTGAATGATTTCTAAGGAATCCATAAAAAATTGGATCTTTAAAGTTCCTTAGGGATCTACATCTCAAAAAACTTACTGCAATCGAACAATATGTTAGATTTATTGAAGTTGATAATAAATATTATATATAGCAGTTGATAAAGCAGCAAATAATGCTATTATGTAATAATAATATAACGCATTTTTTACAATTACATAAAAATTACATATTTTTACACAAATTGAATAAATTACACATTTTTAAAACAGTTTACTAAAACTAACTTTTTCAATAATGTTAAGAATCACATAACTATCGCACAATCGAGGAATTTTTACACAGAATATATACAAGAATTAGTCTGTTTGTTACGAAAATCATTTTTATAGGGCTTAGACTATGAAGTCGTACGTAGTTCATGTATTTTTATATCAAGTTTTCTACCATTTTACTAACACTGCCAGATGTGTCTACCAATTATAGGCTTCATCAACTAAGAATAAATAAATAAAAAAACAATTAATTAAATGAAAAATATAAAAATTAAATATAAAATCACATAATCATTTTATTACTTACCTGTTATTCTAAAGCTTCAGTTGCTAGAAGTTTATTTAATTGTTCTTGTGCGACTCTAACCTCCTGTTTGGCAGATTTTTTATACCAATAAATAGCTTGACCAATATCTTTCACAATTCCTTCTCCATTTTCATACATTAAAGCAAGATTATATTGAGCTACACTATTTCCTAAATTTGAAGCATTTTGATATAATTTAAATGCCTTTCTCTTATCGATGTTAATTCCAACTCCATTTTCATAACAATATCCTAAATTATTTATTCCAGTTGTATCTCCTAATTTTGCTGCTTTTTTATATAATTCAAATGCTTTTTTTGTATCAACTTTAGTCCCAATACCATCTTCATAACAAGAACCTAAACTATTTATTCCATATAAATTTCCTAAATTTGCTGCCTTTTGATACGATTCAAAAACTTTAGATTTATTAATACTGGTACCAATTCCATATTGATAACAATATCCTAAACTAATTAATCCAAATGCATTTCCTAAATTTGCTGCTTTTTGATATAATTCAAATGCCTTTCTTTTATCAGCATTAATTCCAATTCCTAAATAGTTAAAATCTCCAAGTAAAACAATAGAATTAGAATTATTTTGATCGTTTAATATCCAATTATAAATTTCCTGCGATGTTACATTATTATTGTCAAGATAGTTAAGAATATTTTGTTTTTCTTTTTCATCATCTTTTATTTTATTTGACAGATCAACTATCTCATCAACCATTGCATTAAAATTCTTATTATTTCGATTATAATTTAATTCATTTAATTTAGCAACTACTTGATTGATAGTCGGACGATTATCTGGTTCCCCATTCCAACATTCTAAAAAAATTGATTTAATTAAAATGTTAATTCTTAATTTTATTAGTATTAAAACTGTACTTACCAGTATAAAGATTAACATAAGTAGTAGGTGTATCAAGAACAGGTGTTTCCCTAAAGTCTTGTGAAATTCGTACAATTAAACTAAAGGGTGGTATTCCTTCGAAAGGTGGGTGACCACTTGATATCTCCCAAAGAAGCACGCCAATACTATAAATATCACTTTTTTTATCTAGAGAATATGGTTGTATACTAAATTTTTTTGGATCAATATATGGAATCACACCTAATAAATCTGATCGTGATTTATATGCTTCGTCAATCCTTTTTGATAGTCCAAAATCAGCCAACTTGATGTTATTCTGATGGATTAATATGTTCTTAGAGTGCTATTAACAGTATATTAAATAAATCAAATAAATGAATCAATCAATATAATATATATTTAAAACGATATAAATTGGTGAATACTGTATAAATGAACTACCAGATCACGATGAACAATTCCTTCATCATGTAAGCATAACACGGCATGGGCTAACTGAAGCGCCAGACTAAATTTATCATTCCAATTAAGTTTTTCAAAACATTTCTTCAGATACTCACGAAGAGTACAGCATATTCCATTATCAACCAATACTTTTTTGAATTATCATTTTGATTTTCTATTAAAAAAATAATTCAATTTAAAATTTTCAAAGCGATATTATATTTAATATAAGAAATTTCAGTTATTATATTGTTGTAATTCCAAGAAATCGAATAATATTCTCATGAAAATCCACTTCGCGCTGAAGCTTAAGCTAAATCATTAATATAAGTATAATTTTGAATCAAAAACTATCATAAAAAATGGACAGATGCACTTTTTTGCTATTATTATCTCATTAACAATTTCTTTTGTTGTGACACTGTTTAAATTAAAAGATTTCAACGCCAAATAAATATGAAAACTTTTCCAGTTTGCACGGTAGACTATTCCGAAGCTTCCTGAACCAATTTTTTCAATATTATTAAAGTTTCCATATTCGTAATATTTAATATGTTTTTTGTCAATAGCCTCCTCAATCCAATTAATATATTCATTATATGAATTTCCGGTAACTATTACTGATCCAGACATTTTGGATGAAGGCCTAAATTTTAATGACATGCATTATTCGTTTCGTTTATTTATTTATATTTATTAAACTGTACAAATGCAACGTTATCACAAAATGCTATTAGATAACACTGCAGTGGTGCTACATTTATTGCAGCATTACAGGATTACAGAATAAAATAAAAAAATAAAATTTTATCCGAGATCAGCGCATGGAATTGTGTAACATTTATAAGAAATTACTGCGGGAACTTCAGGACGCATTTGGTGCATCATTTACTCATTATACAATAAATTCCTATTCTATAAATAACAATAATTATTAGTAATTTACATTGTACAACATATTTCTATACCAACTTTCGTAATTTCCATAATTTATATATTTAAGAAAATGATGACTATTAAAAAGTTCAAATAATGATGTAGTTAGTAACCGAA